GCTTGGAGCAACCTGCTCTAGTGGAAGGTGTCCCTGCCCGGGGCAGGGGTTGGAGCTGGAGGAGCTTTAAGGTCCCTTCAACCTAAACCATTTGCTGAGTCTGTAGCACTGCATCCAGTCTGTGCAAGCTGGATGTTGCAGAGGCTCTTTGTTCTTCCGCTTTGGGTCAAAGGCACTTTTTTGTTGAACACAAAGTTGCTACTTTATTGTGTGTTACAAAGTTCCGTGCAGTTAAAAGTAACGGTTCAGTCCAGTGAAACTTCATAATCACCTGTGAGAGGCAGCTCCATTCAGCTGCACATCTGCAAACTGCAGTACCTGGCTGTGCTCACGGCGTGTGAACTCAGCACTGGTAACACCATCCCCGTAACAGGAGCTTCAGACAGAAGAGATTCTGATGGGTGTCTTTTGAGTGTGTTTAGTAGTAACTGCTTCTGGTTCTCCTGCAGGATAACGGTGACGTTCAACATCAATAACAGCATTCCACCCTCAGCAGATGACGAACCACAGGAAGGGCAGAAAGCAGATGAGCAGGAGGTAACTTAGTCTTGATGTGCACTTTAGTGGTGGTTACACAGAGGGAAGCTGGAACCTTGCCCTTGAGCACCAAAGCTTTTCTCCCTTCTCTCTTGATACGCTTTGGGAGCATTAAGTCACAAAATGAAGATTTTCATGGGTTGTCTGTCACTTGGTTGTGACCACCCTCTACACAGCATAAAGACAGAGCAGAGTGAGAGAGATCTGTAAGGATAAATGAGAGGAACTCTGAGACCTTAGAGCACCAAAAGGGGCTGATAAAAGGTTTAGAGGAGCTTTTTGTAAGGGCACATAGGGATAGAACAAGGGGGAACTGCTTTAACCTGCCAGAGGGGAGATCAAGATGAGCTCTGAGGCAGAAGCTCTTCCCTGTGAGGGTGCTGAGGCGCTGGCACAGGGTGCCCAGAGAAGCTGTGGCTGCCCCATCCCTGGCAGTGTTCAAGGCCAGGTTGGACACAGGGGCTTGGAGCAACCTGCTCTAGTGGAAGGTGTCCCTGCCCGTGGCAGGGGTTAGAAACGGATGAGCTTTAAGGTCCCTTCCAACACAGACCAGTCTGGGATCTTTTGCCTTTGCAGTACCCTGCAGTAAATACTGCGGTTTGTACTTAGCTAGTGTAAGTCCTGGTGCTGGTAGGCAACGTCAGTGGGACAAAGCTGTTCACTCGACAACGGAGTTTTGTTGGTCGGAAGTGTCTCCTCTTTAGTATAAATGCTGGTAAAAAGTGTAAATGAACACTCTGACTTGGGGCAGATGCTTCATGCGCAGTGACACGGATGCTGAACAAATCCAGGGCCATTGGTGAGGTTGTGAGGGAAGTTTGGGTTGTCCTGGCCAGGTCAGAGGCTCCAGAAGGAGTGGAGGGGTGGGAACAACCTGTACAGGATGGGCTGTGTGTTGGGCTGTACTGTGCTTGCTGCTTTGGCTCCTGTTCAGATTCCAGTGCTGATGCAACTGTTCTCTTCTTTAGCCTGATCTTACATCAACTCCAAACTTTGTCGTGGAAGTAATAAAAGATGATACAAAACAGACCCTTGTTCTTGACTGCCATTACCCTGAAGACGAGGTGGGTATCACACTGGTTGTGTCTCATCTCTAGCCAGCTCTGGGCTGTGATTTGCTGCACGTTTCCTGCTTGACTGTGGTGTAATTGTGCTCTGTTGAACCGAACTGCTCTTTACAGCCTCTTGCTTTTCTGAATCTGCAGAAAATGCAGCCTCCTTTATCTTTTTTAAACACAAACCCCAGCTTTGTGTTTGCAAGAAACTACTGTGGGGAGGAGACATTCCATTGCATAACTCACATCATGAGCTGGTGTTTTGGCTGCTTATCGACCTGTTGATGGAATTACGCTAGCGAAGGGAGGCACAGCTTACCTTGAGGAGCATGGCAGCTTGGGAGGGGTGAACAAGAAGGGCCAAAACAAGATGTATTTAATAGAGTATGTCAGTAACTTGCAAATCTCATTGTTGTGAGAGGTCACAAAGAGAAGTAGGGATGAAAATAAGGCCGGGGTGGCGGGGAGGGGGATAAAACTGGGGGCTTTGGTTCACACTGATCTTTGTGGCAGATCATTTATGCAGCCAGTCCTTGCTGACTAAGGGTGGGCAGGTGTGTGAGGCACATTAGAACCACACACAAGGTTGTTTCTGGTGGCCTGACCTCTTAGGGAATCTCCTGTGTTCTCCTGGGTGTCCATGCTCATCTTCACAGGCACATTTTGAGGAGAGCAGCACAGCTTCACTGCTGGTCTGGGGTTTGCCTGCATGCAGTATTCCTCACTTTGGTATGAGCTGGCTGGAGGTGCCGGGTAATTGGAGCTAACTGTGCGCCTTGCATCTCACTTCCTGTTTCAGGTCGGAAATGAAGGAGAGGAAGAAAGTGATATTTTCACAATCCGGGAGGTCAGTTTTCAGCCCACTGGAGAATCAGAGTGGAAGGACACCAACTACACCCTCAACACGGACTCCCTGGACTGGGTAAGTGCTGCCAACACGGCCACACGCTGCAGAGGGTACTTGAACTTGCCTCTCCTGGCTGTCCCTTTGCTCCGGGGCTATGGATGAAGCCTGTCCTGGATACGTGAGACAGGGATTCCCCTGCTGTACCCCAGCTCCTCATGACATGGTTCTGCTGCAAACTGAGGGTTGTTTGGTGGTCTCAGCAGTTGTGCAGTGCTGGTGGCGTTCCTGACAGTCAGACACACACATGTTGAAGCTTGTTCTGCTCCAGGCTTTATAGGTTGATTTCCCACTTTGATTTTTACACTGCAGAGATGCTTTGGCAGTTGCTCAGACAAGTTCTGATCCGTGTGTTTAACAGCCTAGCTTATCAGATGCCACGTGTAGACACCTTTGTTTTCTGGGGTTTCCAGGTATGTTTTTATAGTTGTGACACTAAAAACTGACATGCCCAAGAATCTGGCATCTGTTCATATGTTCTCAGTGCCAGGCTTCCAAAAGCTTAAATTGTAGTTGGACGCTGTGTATGGTTAAAACTTTACTCCTGGTGTGTCTCTATCTCGCTTTGGGAAGTGCTCATGTTAAAAGGGGTTAGTGTGCTCTACAGCATCCCACACTGCTTATTCTTTTCCCCCTCTTTGACTTGTGACACAAACCCAATTAAAAATGTGTATGATTTGTGATGTTCTCAGATGACAGAAGTCCAAAATGAATCACTTGCTCAGTAATATTGATCTGTTTAAAAAACCCACAACAACAGACCAAAAAACACATGACGGGTATTATTTAGTAGTATTGCACTAAGCAGCCAGAATGAATCTGTTCTCCTGAGGAGCAAGGGGGGAACCCACAAGCATTAACGTGCTGGAGCTGCAGCAGTTAAGTAGGATTAGAAAGAAAAAGAAGCAAGGAGTTGATGATTGTAAAAGACTTTGTCTTTCAGATATTTACATCAGATATCCCCCTTTCTAGACACAAGGCTGTGGTGCTATATAGAGGGGACAGGCAGTGTGTAATCTTGACAGGCTTCACCTGCTGACTTTCAGGGTCAGTGGATCATCTCCAGGGTGCAGCTCCATTTGTCATGTTGGCTTTGGGTTTATACACTGAATTTGGATGGCCTGTTCATGGCCACATCCCTGCACACGTTCCACCCAAGGCCAGACCTGCCCCGAAGGGGATGGGAGCTGCCTGGTCTTCTGTGGGAGGTGGGCCTGATCTTCCTGGGATAAATGCCAGCTGCCATGGGATATTTGAAGAGCAACCCCTACCCAGGTGGGCTCTGCTAAGTGAAGCTTCCTGTTCCCTGCTTCCAGGCTCTGTATGATCACTTAATGGATTTCCTGGCTGATCGAGGAGTGGACAACACGTTTGCTGATGAGTTGATAGAGCTCAGCACTGCACTGGAGCACCAGGAGTACATCAAATTCCTTGAAGACCTTAAAAGCTTTGTGAAATGTCAGTAGGTTTAACTAGGAAACTTGCCTTGAAGTGTGGGCACTGCTCCAGCCAGCAATACCCAAATATATCTTCACAACAGATACGGAGAGTAAGTAACGTTAATTTGGAGGATGGGAGGATTCTCACTTGTATTTAGGGATTTGTATTTATGTTGCAGCCCTGATCAAGTTCTCTGACATAAACGGTCCAGAACCGCCCCACCTGCTTGGTGGGTTTTGTACAATTAAGAATGAATGTGAAGAATAAACTCAGTTCAACATATCACTGAAAAAAAATAGGGGTTTCTCTTCTTCCTGCTCTACCTTTGCTGACCAGAGAGTGGCCCTAAAATGTTGCTCGTGTTAGTTCAGCTGCTCACAGAGCTGTGGTGTGTGCTGATACAGCATTTTCTCTGGGGAGAGCTATTCCAGCACCTCCAGCCATGCAGTGTGGCAGAGTTGTGGCTGTAGGAGGAACATTGCTGGCCAAGCAGTACTAATTACGAACATGAATCTCATTCGAGGAATCTTTGCTGGCTGTCTCTCTGTCAGGGAATAGAATTCAAGGTCCTAAATATCATGTTCAAGGAGTGTTTCTAAAAAGGAATGTGTTGTCGTAATCTCTTACATTAATGTTGCTGCAGGAGGCTGAGGGTGCTGATGTGGAAGGCACAGTAGTGGGGCAGCAGCTCCCATCCTCTCAAACTGCTGTTGCCAGTTGTGTCACATAAGTTTGAACAGAAACCAAAGCTGAAGTCCACTGTGAGCCCCGAGTTAAAGACAACACAAAGTCTGAAATAAACTAAAGTAATTTATTTCAAATGCATACTGTGCCATTCAAAGTGCAGGTCAAGGCAACACTACTGCCTTTTCAGGTATCTGACACAGCAGTTACACGTATATACATAAAAATACTAGCAGCTCTGGGAGGATTTTTAGTCTTGAAGTCCTTCCAGTACAAAAGCAGCAATTGAATCAACTTACAGGAGAATCATCCAGGAGTCACAGACCTTTACAAAAGGCAAGATGAAAGAGAGATCCTCTACTAACATATAAAATGAATTATTCATGTTCAAAACTTGTCTGAAGTGCCCTGCTCCCAGCGCTGTCCTCACGGTGATTTTACATCAGCAGCAAAGCTAAGGACATGTGAGCCCCAGCTTGAGCCGAAGGGACGGTGTGTGTTTTCTAAGAGGTACAGGTGAACCTTCTGAGGTTTAAACTGAACTTAAAACTTTTCCTTGTGAACCACGTATCTGAATGGATGTTCCACACACGACAAGGAAGTTGTTGGCTGACACGTGGGAAAGGTAAGGCACTAAACGTGACAGGTCTTTGAAAGATGCCCTAACCCGGCAGTCAAGGTATGTTGTGTCATTTGCCTTTTCACTGCTCAAAACTAAGACCATTCCCAAGGAAGTTTGTGGAAAAACTCCAGCACAACCCCCTGAGGGTCAATGGACTTGTGGTTTCTGCCCATGTAATTGAGAAGGGGATCCCAGCAGAGATCCTTTCCAGGAATTTGGCATTTAGACTCACCGCACAGCTCATGAGGAGACTGGCTTCTTCCTCCATTCCACTGGTGACTGTGAACTCCGGGTTGTGGAAGCACCTGTGGCTGTGCTCTGTTACAGTGTTTTCTAGGAGGGACCGAAGCTTCCCTTCTGTCATATCCTGACAAAAAATGGGGTTAAGGAAGTCTTAAATTGTCCGTAGCTTAAACACGCCTCTTCCCAGCAGCAGACAGGTCATAGCTAACGTGTTCCAGTGCAGCTCACCTGTGTGCTGATGCATAACCCACACTGGCAAAAAACCACGTGATTCCTCACGGTCAGGTTATTCCTAGGAAAAGCATACAAGGAGCAGCATCAGAACAAAGGCAGATGTTAGCAAACACCCTGTTAGATTTAGGAGATCATTGTGGGTTTTTTACTTTCTTGAAATCAATACCAGCAGCAGCCTCTCTTTGCCCATTGCTTTTGCCTGTCTGTAAACCCAAACTGCTGTAGGGGTGCAGAGAATCTCATTCCGGCGCCAAGGACTTTTCTTACTTTCTACACACTGGGCAGATGATCCTGTCACTGGCATCCAAGCCATCGAGCATCGCGTTGAGGCATTC